TTTACTGTATTTATGCCATTCCGAATATTATCCCTTAGAAAAGCAATATGTTAAAACACACTTGGCCATTTTTGAAGTTTATCTATACTTCAGCAGTTACAGCAAATATATTATTATAAATATTCATACATATGATCATAAATAAGCATACCGATCAATAATAAACGCGAATATGAACTGACCACACGGAACGAGAATGTAAATTATTAAAATCTTGATAGAAATTCAAACATGTGTAGTATTGGGTGGGAGCAAAAGAATACGGAAAGTATCGGAATTTTCTAAATTTTCGCAATTCTTTGACTAATAGAATGACGTGCTCCTGTCTGTACTCGCACGCACCAAGGGTATGTTAATGTGGAGAAAGGGGAGAAAAGCTATTTCTGGGAGTATGATTCACCATCTGATATTCCATATAAGGAAGAAAAGTTGTTTAGGTACTTTTCCATTTTGCCAGCGCAGACGATAAAGTCGCCAATAATGGTACAACTGATGCCAAACAGAATATCCTCGCGGGTAACATTTTACGAATCATTTCCAAAACAAATTGCAGCCATTTCTTATCTGATCGATTGTTTCTTTCAATAATGGCATACAATTACATAGACTTTTTATTAGGTAGTTCAATTTTATGCTCTAAGGCCATTCACGGAAATTAAGTTAATGATGAGGCAATGACACCACTCACCTGAAGTCGAAAATATAGAAAAGGCAAAGGGTTAAATTCATCAATTCTAATGAGAATGCATTTGCGAAGTAAAGCACTATGGTTTTACACAATTTTTGAGTAAGGTATTCATATGAATTGAAATAATTTTTGCATTTCAAATTAAGATTTAATTTGAAATTAATGTAGATAATTACTAAGAGAATTAGATTGTTTTATAGTGTAGATTACGCGAGATGAAATCACTTAGGGTCACGTGATGTGAACCGGCGAATCAGGATGTTGAACCATGAAAGCATAGTAAATTCTTAAATTAATGCCTTTTTACAAATTTATGGTCTTTATTTATTGGCTTTTTGTAAAATTTAAAATGATATTAAAATTTTTATGCCATTAAAATAAAAAATTCTTAGAACTAAAATTTTTTATGTGTTTACCGTATGTTGTCACCAATAAAAGTCTGCTTGGCGAGATTTGCGGCTGCGAAACGGATTAGTGCTGGGAAAAAATGTCTGTTCGATGATAAAAAAAAAAAAAAAAAAAAAAAAAAAAACACTAACAGCAAAAAATTAAATGCTTTAGAGAAAAAGTAAGCACCTATAAGTGCTTTTATATTTTATTTTCAAATATAAGGACTGTTACGAACCCTGTGATACACAAAAATGTATACTATTTTGTTACGTTGGCGACCCCTAAACGTATAGTGGAGAAAATTTTTAAAATTTCTTAGTAAGTACCGGAAAAACGGTATTTAAGCTTGTGAATACGAGTATTATAAAATTGTACAAATGGCTGGTGACACAAGCTTACAGATTCCAGTTCAGATAATTTTAGGAAGTTTTTGGATGCTGTTAAGGAATTTCGTGTGCCACAGACCGAAGACACAAAAATTTTTAAATAAGTAGACATTTCCTTTGTGTAGTGTGTAGATGCAATAAGATGTATTTCCTTTTTTACGTTATTTCACTGTTTGATTTAAAATGCAGTTTACTGAGATTATATATTTTTTGTCTGGCTCTAGTTTAGAACTGGGTGCTCCTTTGACTTTTAAGTGAAAATAGATCGATGTGTATATATGGACACAGTCAATGGAGTGCGTAATGCCGAGTTTGAGCGATTCTCAGATTTTTTTAAAGTGAAAATAGATCGATGTGTACATGGACACTGAATCTGTGTAATTCTTTGACTTATTTTTGTTTTGCGTAGCGGCCATCTTGAAATTGTGCCTTGCTGACCAATCACCAAGGGGCATCCTAAAATATATTTTGACCAACATTTCTTTAAACATTTAGTAAAACTAAAATACTTTTAACTGAATGTAAGTCATAACTATTGTTCAATAGTAGACGTAATCACATGTAAACTCTGGATAGTTCTATATCTCGGGGATTGTGATTTAAACTACCAATGCCTGAGTAATTAAAACCCCACAATGCTTCTAGTTCACTTAGTCTACACCTAATGATAAAAGTCTGAAAGCATGGGATATTTATGGGGTACTTGCACATTATTGCAACCACCCTAGTAGAAGTCGCCAAATTTTCAGGATGTGCCAAACTGCACATAACAGTTCTTCAGTCAAGCAACGTTGCCATTTTCATATGCATTCTTTTTGCTGTGTTCTAAGTTCAAATGGTTTTTATAGACCATTATTTCTTTCCCTTAAACTCAATTTTTAATTATGCTTTTGTTGAATTGGCAGCAGAAGGAACTGTGGTAAAAGTTCTGCAGAAATACAGTATTTTACTGCAAAATCTCGTAACAGAAACAATCTGAATTTGAGGTACTCTTCTGTTATTGGGACCAGAGGTTAATCTTTGGATTATGGCGATAACTTGGCGACCAACTCTGCTACAACAACCTGCTAGTTTTGTTTTGGGCGCCATTTTGTTTTCACAAAGTAAAGGCTTTTTTTTTTTTTTTTAAACTCAACATTTTTTTCAAACAATCTGCTAGCCAAATTACGCTTATGCTAGAACTTTTATGGAACAAAAGTGCTTAATCATGACGAAGATTAGGTGCGAAATCGGGAGAAAGTGCAGAATCGCCCACTGCTTGTCGCGTTTTTAAGAATTGCACATACACGGTATCCATGTACACGTTGACCTATTTTCACTTAAAAAAAAATCCCAGAATTGCACAAAAATGGCATTGCGCACACTTTTGACTTTATCCATGTACACTGCTAAAGTCCTAGCTAGTAACCTTTATCGCCTTACCAAAATGTCGCGAAACTACCTGTTACCATATTCCAAAGATTAGCCGGACCAGAGTCAGAAATGTATGGATGTAAGTGCACATGTATGTGTGTGTATACATAGATACATATGTATGTACTTACATATGTGCGTACATGAACATATACATCCATACACACGTTCCTACTTGCATACATTCCTGAATCCAGTCCCAATAATAGACGACTACCAAATAAAAAGACGACAAATCTTATATTAGAGTGATCACCACTAAATTTCCACCAGAATAAAAGAAATAAAGGAAACAGTTTGTAAATAGTTTTACTGTTTGATTTTTTTAAACAAATACATAATTAATATACAGAATATACATATAACAATAATTATGTATGTAATAAGTAAATTCTTGCAAACTGAACTAAATAATGACCTATGCCATCATTTTTTGCTTATGTAAGAAATCACCAAATTTCATCAACGTAGTTGTATTAAGAATGCAAATACCATTTACGGTTTTTTCCTTAAAAAAGAGACCTCCATTAAATTCCCTTCCATGGTACATAAATGCTCGAGTGTATTATCACAATTAAACACTGAAATTTAATAGCTGTCAATTAACTGATCAGCTACACATACTTTCTGCATTTCATAAAATGTTCAATACCAATGTTTTAAATAAAATGCCCCCCCCCTAGAATTACCTTAAAAATAGACAAACTAAATTGGAAGAAAAAGAAAAAAAAAGGGAGGATGATAAATCTAGTCAAAATAAAAAGTTAACTTTCAATTACTGTAAAGGCCCTTATTTTTGCGAGCCCGTCGTCATCGTGAAAATTTAAGCCTCACGAAATACTTTTTTTTTTTTGCATGAAATAATAAAAAATCAGAAATTTTTCACTTACCCAAAATTTAATGATTTATTGTACACTTACAAGCTTTTTTTTGACAACTTTCTTTCTTATAACAACTTTTTGAATAATATAAAACTATATTTCTTGAATATAAAACAATAAAATTAATAGAAGGCAGCTCATTCACTTAGAATACTATTTATACCAGCTTCAGCACTTACGTATTAACGCAACCAGGCCAAAATTCGCATAAATTGCGAAATTTGGCGACCCTACTTATGGCAACCCTACGTGTTATACGTAGTTTTGTAAAAAGAGCATGTGGAGATTCACAAAATTTTCCTGCAAATTTTTTTAATTTATGAGAAAATAGCAGTGTACATGGATAAAGTCAAGAGTGTGCGCAATGCCATTTTTGTGCAATTCTGGGATGTTTTTTTAAGTAAAAATAAGTCGACGTGTACATGGTTATGGCGAATACGGTTTTCAATCAGTGCTAAAAGCAACAGCCAAAAGATTTCCGCCGAAAAAATAATTCTGCAACTTATTAAAATTCGAAACTGGAAGGGTTTAATTGCTATTTTATATTTTAAAACAAAATAATATAAAAAACTGTATTAAAAATTATCTGTAATTAATAAATGTACATTTTCTTTCTATTCATACTTTTTTACTCAAACTTACAAATAGCGCCAACCTGGTTGCGATAATATGCAAGTACCCCAGCTTCTTTGAAGCCATTCAAAATTATCTCATGTTTGGCATCAATACTGTTAAATACGCGTACAAGCCTCACAAATCCACAGATTCTTTTTCCTCTAGAAATTGAAGCTCATTAGAATACCACTCAATAAACTCATTCTTGAGCGAACGCTTGAACTCACCATTTAGACGGAAACGGGGGGTGACGAACTTTTCGGACAAAAGGAAGTTTCTTAAAATGCTTTATGCAAAAGATGTACTTTGGCAATTTTTAAACTTTCTCAACTTTACTTAAGTACTTTTGAAATTTTTCAACTTTCGGTTCTGTTCATATAAAATTCGCGAAATCACCGATATATTCATTTTCGCGAAAATAAGGGCCTTTACAGTAATTAGTAATAAAAAGCATTCTGCACATTATTTTTGGAATAAATATTCAATGAAATTTGGGAATAAAATTCAATGAAATTTTCACATGTCATAAATGTTAAATCAAAAGTTGTAATTCTAAAAACTAAACACAGAAAAATTATGCCTAATTCAAGTTCTTAACTTCAATATGCAAAATGGGATACAACTTACCTTTCTATCAGGTCGTCTGACAACAGGTATGTTTTCTGCCTGCAAATATATTTCAAATAAAACCGTTTTCATATACTTAAAAAAATTAATAACTTCAGCTACATTAATAAACAAGAAATTAAACTAAATGGAAAACAAGAAATGAAACTAAATGCAAAAGACACAAAGTAAAATGAATATTAAAATCAATTTGTTTTCATAACATACCGCAGCTTGTCTAACATAAACTGGATGAGATAATTGGACATTTTTCAAGAGAAATAAGAGACATTCTAAAGTATAGTATTCTTTGGGTGTTCCATCTTTTCCAGCACTAAAAAAATAAATAAATAAAACATAAAAAATTTCATGTGCTTGAAATCTGAGGATTAACACAAGTGTATAAATACTAACTAGATCTGTACATAATATTATTATCAGTAATAAACATTATGCTTGAAATTTGAGGATTAACAAAAGTATAAATATTAGCTAGATCTGTATATAATATTACCAGTAATAAATATTATAAGTGAAAGGAAATAAAAACTAACATATATTTCAGAGTTTCACAAGATTTATGGATTTAAATCGAAACTATGTAATAGCACAAGCACTATATACAATCACAGAATAAAATCTAATACAACTGATTTTTCCTTATATAAATAAAAACGTAATCATAATATAATGTAATTCGAAACTATGCTTCACTTACCCCCATACTAAATAATTTGTCTTTACAGTTTTGGGCCAGGAATATTCGCCAAATATAATCTGATTATTTCTCTCTGTAATAGGTTTTTTATTTACATTGTATTGACGAAGAAAACTCAGCGGATCAGCCATTGTACGACTATCCAATAGAGGGAAAAAAGTAAATATTCGTCTCTAATTACCCCTATTTATAAAAATTAAAAAAGAATTAACAATATTTCTAAAGCTGACGCTGAAACACCTTACTGCGCATGCGTGAACTGCAGTTATGGTTACAGTTTCGATTTAAGCAAAATATTGTTAACTTTAATTAAAATAATACGTGGAATGAAGATTATTTCAGATACTAAGGGTAAAATCCAAATGCTATCGTATGCACAAAGAAAAAGAAAATTAATGTGCGTCTGAAATTTTATGGAGCTAATGTCTCTGGGTCTCAGGAAGTTCCTTATCTTAGGGGCCCCATAAATTCTCTGTCATGGACTTCACACATTGCATCTATTACCAAGAAGTTTCGAGCGTGTAAAGCTAGACACTATTCCTTAATTGATGGAAATAGGGTTCCATCAATTGATAATAAATTACTCCTTTATAAAGCCATTCTACGTCCCATGCTGCGTGTTCTATTCCACGATATCAACATGTCAAAGATTTTTTGTTTTGGAAGCCCTTTCCATTTCATACTTCAATAATCCCAATTCAAAACAAGTCTTTGTGACTATTTATTTACGAACACCTACTATACTACACGATTTACATGGTTCAAGATTAAGCTTTCCATTTCATACTCCAATTCAAACTCGAATCCCAATTCAAAACAAATCTCTGTGACTATTTATTTACGTCCACCTAATATATTACTGTTACGTAAGGCGTTACGTTTCAAACAATGGCTAGCTGAGAAGGGATTCATAAGTCATCTACTAGATGAGTTAACAGCTATCTTATCTTAAATGGAGCACTTGAAATCTTTTAAACTTAAGGGAAAAGGTTTATTTACACATTTATACAAGTTAAATGAATAAGAAATATCTATCTAGCTACATCATGCAAACATCGTCTTAGCTATCTAAACCGCAACAAGTCGTCTTTTTCTGTGGTCTTATGACGTCAGTCTCTACCTGGCCTTTAATTCGTTGGCTTAGCAATGCCATTCCCAACATCCTCTTCCCTTTGAGTTGCTGGATAGCTACTCAACTGTATCAAGTTCAATCTTAGTGGCATCTCCAGCAGTTCTACCAGATACTGTCTTTGTATTCTTAGAAATGTCACATACATCGGAAACATCAGTGGGGTCCGAAGATCGGAGCGGATCTGAAAAAAGAATGAAAAAAAAAAAAAAAAAACAGAAAAAGTGAAAAAAAATCAATGTCCATGTGGCGAATGTTAACTTTTTGCGCCACCATCTGATCAGCAGAGGTTGACAGGATAATGGTGCTACAGAACTCTTGTAAATAGTTAAAAAATAAAGGATAAAAGGTTTCAACCTTTATCCTTATTCTGTTGTTACTGAACATCAAGTTGATTAGTGAGTTTGGTTTGGTTTCGTGTATGTGAGCATGGTAAGGCCTCGAGGGCTATCTGCGGGGGGAGATGGATGCCTTCGTGGAAGACTTTCTGAAAGAAACTGGTTCGTATATATGTTACACATGGGAAAACCCATGAAAATCTCCATACAACCAGCCCATTTGCGGGACTCGTACCTCAGACCGAAGTACAGTCGGTCACAAAAGTATTCGAACACCGGTACCCATTCAGAAAATTTACTTTTCCGTTGAGAAACAAAATTGTCTCCAGAGTCCATCTTGGTTCGATAGAAAAAAAAACAAAAGGATGGCTCATGTCCAAAATTGGCTAGGTGCATGAAACAAAATACAACATGACCTATCTGGGTGAGATGGGAAACAAAATGGCTGCTCACGTGATCCAGGTTTGCGCTCAGAGAAAACGCAAAAGGTCGCTACGGCCCGTCTCGGTTCGCGAAGAGTGAAAACCCAAAAGGGTCTCCAGTGTCTATCTTTGTTGGATGAGAAAACAAAAGGATGGCTCATGTCCAATTTATTTAGGTGTGGGAAAAAATATAACGTGACCTATCTGGATGAGATGTCTCCAGCGATCCAGTATAGACTTTTTCCCCATCTGCAATAGGTGACATCTATAAACAATTTCATTGAAATCTCCTCGAAATATAAGAAACAGCTAGCTCGTGAAATTGTAAGGTATTCCCAAAAAATTCCACTTCTTGAAGAAGGAAAAACATCCTAGCTGCAGATGAGGTAGAGAGAGAAAAAGCATGTTGCACACCATGGAGAGCCCGCACGGTTCTGAACAGAAAACGTGGAATGCTTTTATAGAAAAGAGTTGAAAGTGAAAGTAAAAAGCCGATTGGAAATTTTTCACTTGGTTGCCGACTGGGGAAAAAATTTTCAGAGCTCAGAAAAAAAATTCTGAGATGTAAAAAAAAAAAAAAAAAAAAAAAAAAAAAAAAAAAAAAAACTTTTTGTTAATTTTTATCATGTCTTCTAGACATGATAAAAATTAACCCTACCCCCCTTTTGTGTGGGAATGTTGTCTCACTGTTTCTAAAAATAGACCATGACTCATTCTAGGAATTATATGTTTTAGAAAGGATGAGTCATGGTCTTTGGGTTTTCTCCATTCCAAAGTAAACAAAGTGAAGACATCAAATTAATAAAAAAAAAGGAAGAGTTTTTTTTTTTTTTTTTCAGCTCTGGAAATATTTTTCCCATTCAACAGCCAAGAAATATTTCCAGCCAATACAATTTCATTTTTACTTTCACTTTCAATTCATTTCTTATATCTATAAGAACATTTCATGTTTCTGTTCAGATCAGTGTGGGTTGTTCAAGATGCAGCAACTCTACTCCATCCCACAACCAGGAAAAAAAAGATGTTCTTTCATGCTGAATTTTGGCTTTCGAAAACAATGATGACATGATGATTGTAATACATTTTTAAACCTCAACATGTTAGCTGTCATGGAAAGAGAATTATTTCCCAGAGCTCTGAGAAATTTTTCCTAGTCAGACTCAACCCTGAAATGGATTTAAAAATAAATTTTTTACACTTTTTCGACTTCCATCCGTGTGTGCTGTGCATTGGAAAGAGACACTTTTTTCCCTGAGCTCTAAGAAAATGTTTCCCAGCCCACTCAATCGCTGAAATGGATTAAAAATAAATTCTTTCATACATTTTTAAAGCTCAAGCGTGTTAGCTGTCATGGAAAGAGCCTTTTTTTCCCCTGAGCTCTAAGAAAATGTTTCCCAGCAGACTCAATCGCTGAAATGGATTAAAAATAAATTCTTTCATACATTTTTAAAGCTTAAGCGTGTTAGCTGTCATGGAAAGAGCCTTTTTTCCCCTGAGCTCTAAGAAAATGTTTCCCAGCAGACTCAATCGCTGAAATGGATTAAAAATAAATTCTTTCATACATTTTTAAAGCTCAAGCGTGTTAGCTGTCATGGAAAGAGCCTTTTTTCCCCTGAGCTCTAAGAAAATGTTTCCCAGCAGACTCAATCGCTGAAATGGATTAAAAATAAATTCTTTCATACATTTTAAACCTCAAGAGTGTTAGTGTCATGGAAAGAGCCTTTTTTCCCCTGAGCTCTAAGAAAATGTTTCCCAGTCCACTCAATCGCTGAAATGGATTAAAAAGAAATTCTTTCATATTTTTTTAAAGCTCAAGCGTGTTAGCTGTCATGGAAAGGGCCTTTTTTTCCCCAGCCCACTCAATCGCTGAAATGGATTAAAAATAACTTCTTTCATACATTTTTAAAGCTCAAGCGTGTTAGCTGTCATAGAAACTGAAATTTATGTCATGGTTTGTGTCTCACACGTCGTCAACGGTATGGTTTGAGGTGTCTTTCAATATCATGACATCTCCTTTCAAATAGGATTTTTCTTAAACTATGTTGAAATCTTGTTGCATCCAAACCACGGATGGGAAATTCTGATTCATGGATGGATCATCCAATTTCGCTAGAACCTGATAAACGGTTGCTGATGAAATCCAAACGAGGGGTCCTAGCTTTTCAAAAGGGAAACATTTTCCCCTAAACAGAAGAATGATTTCTATTCTGTGAGACATTAAAAAGTGGAAAGAAACTTGTGTTCACAGAAGCTCTTTCTAGAAGAGTGGTTCCTGGGTCCAGATGAGGATAGAGAAAGAGAAAAAGCATGCTGCACCTTGGATAGCCCGCACGGTTCTGAATAGAAAACGTGGAATACTTTTATAGAAAAGCGAGTTGAAAGTGAAAGTAAAAGCCAAATCGTCTTGGCTGGAAAATTTTCACTTGGTTGCCGACTGGGAAAAAATTTTCAGAGCTCAGAAAAAAAAATTTTGAGATGTAAAAAAAAAAAAAAAAAAAAAAAAAAAACTTTTTGTTAATTTTTATCATGTCTTCTAGACATGATAAAAATTAACCCTACCCCCCTTTTGTGTGGGAATGTTGTCTCCTCTGTTTCTAAAAATAGACCATGACTCATTCTAGGAATTATATGTTTTAGAAAGGATGAGTCATAGTCTTTGGGTTTCTCCATTCCAAAGTAAACAAAGTGAAGACATCAAATTAATAGAAAAAAAGGAAGAGTTTTTTTTTCAGCTCTGGAAATATTTTTCCCATTCAACAGCCAAGAAATATTTCCAGCCAATACAATTTCATTTTTACTTTCACTTTCAGTTCATTTCTTATATCTATAAAAACATTTCATATTTCTGTTCAGATCAGTGTGGGTTGTTCAAGATGCAGCAACTCTACTCCATCCCACAACCAGGAAAAAAAGATGTTCTTTCATGAGGAATTCTTTTGGCTTTCGAAAACAACGATGACATGATGATTGTAATATATTTCTGTTCTCATGTCCCGATGCTTGAACTCAGAATTATTTCCAGAGCTCTGAGAAATTTTCCTAGTCACTCGATGACCCAAATTTCGTATATTTATTTAAGCCACTCGAGTTTCGACTTCGCATCCGTGTGTGCTGTGCATTCAACCTGGACACACATTCCCTGAGCTCTAAGAAAATGTTTCCCAGCCCACTCAATCGCTGAAATGGATTAAAAATAAATTGTTTCATACATTTTTAAAGCTCAAGCGTGTTAGGTGTCATGGAAAGAGCCTTGTTTTTCCCTGAGCTCTAAGAAAATGTTTCCCAGCCCCCTCAATCGCTGAAATGGATTAAAAATAAATTCTTTCATACATTTTTAAAGCTCAAGAGTGTTAGGTA